TATCCTGAGTCATTCCCTGGCCAGGGACATTAAGCCGTGCTCAGAGGCAATTATCAGAAAGAAAAAATAAAAGTGGAAAATGAGACTGGAAGGTGGCTGGTGTTCGCCCCGTGCTTTGGTTTAAATCAAGGTGATGTTGAAGAAGCTATTTTCTTTCTTTCTTTTTTTTTTGTAATGAACAATAAAATCCCATGTTTCTATTGTAACTGTCAGTGAATGTATGAATCAAGGACCGAGAGCGCTGCCGTGCAGGGTGCGATAGCCAGACAGCACCGTGTGTCCTGTACCTCCCTGGATGTGATTTCAGTATGGTAAGCACACACATGTGGCTCATGTCAGAACGTCTAGGTCTCAGTTGGGTTGAACACATGGATCTTGTGTTAAATTTCCACTTCAATAAATGAATTTATTTTTTATTTTTGAGAGGTTGCAATTTGTGTCTTTGTTTTCACACTCCAAAAAATAAATCACTTGGGATAGGTCCATCTGTTGGAGGGAGAGGGGATCTGAGAAAGGGTCTGGAGATTTTTTTTTTTTTTTCTGTTAAACAATCCTGCCTCCCTAAACCAACTTAGCATTCATTCCCTTGGAATCCTGCGTAGAAATTTCCAATGCCTTCTGCATATGCCAGGAGGTAGTTTTAGGTGTCAGCTTGGTTTTGGGGGCACATAAGAGCCTAGGTGTTTGCAAATGTTAGCATCTACAGCGGTTGACTGAGTACAGATTGCCCCTTCCTAGTAGGTAGCTTCATCTCAACTCTTGAACAGTGGCTTCCCTAAGGAGGAATCCTGTCTTAGGCCACAGTGTCAACTTCTGACCTTCCACAATTGACTGAGACCAGCCCGCCTTGGGAATTTTATTTCTGTCTGCCACAGCCAAGGCAGTTCTCTGAAATCTGTGTTTATGCATGCACGCTATCTGTATACATGAAGAGTTTGCTTACCCTAACTGAGGTGGCTCCTAATTCACTGTTGTGTGTGTGCCCCATCACTGATGGCTCTATGTGTGCACATAGACTGAGTCAACCCCAAGGCCTCGAGACCCACACAGGCCACCTGCTGGTACAAGGAACTGCAACACGGTGGGTTTTGGTGCCAGAATTCAAGCGCTGCTCAAGGTACCTGCCTCTTCTCTTTGCTTCCAGCCTGGGGGGGAGGGTGTTTTGAGGGTAAAGTAAGTAGCAAAAAAAGATGAAAAGGTCTAGAAATATTTTTGGAAATATTAGTTGGAAGAAGTCAAAGCACTTTACATGATGCACATCAAGGTGTCATTTGTGTCTTGTGGCTCCCAGATCTCCAGGTCCCTCAAGCTAAGCCTGTTGCTCTGATAGAGGCATACATGTGGGTGACAGTGAGCTGACCCTGGTTTTCTAGGTAGACAGCTACCCCTTTGTGGATGCGCTTGGAGACTGGGAACCTTGAGTGGTGCACTTTCCTAGACCATGGCCGCCAGTCTCCTTCACCTTTCTGGAAAAACAAAACAAAACAAACAAAAAAAACCTCCCATGGATTCTAATCTACAGTAAGAAAAATTTGCCAGTTTTTCAGTGTACAACTTGATGAATTGAGACCATCAATAAAAATGTATAACATTGCCTTGGTCTTAAATGTTCACTTATTTGTCTATTGCGTGTGTGTGTGTGTGTGTGTGTGTGTGTGTGTGCGCGTGCAAGTGTGCATGCCTGGATGTTGGGCATCCTGCCTACTCCCTAGAGACAGGGTCTCTCACTGAACCTGGAGCTGGGCGGGCAGCTAGACAGATCCAGGGATCCTCTTGTCTCTGCCCTGTGACGCTGTGGTTAAAAGCATGTACATGGCTACCTCAGGTTTTTACGTGGGCTCTGGGGATCTGAACTCAGATCCTCTTCCTTGTGCAGCAAGTGTTCTTACCCACTGAGCCCGCTCCCCAGGTCCAGCATTTTGTAACCTCCCCCCTCCCCACAACACTCTGTCCTTGACCTTGGAACAAAGGTGTGTGGCTGTGGGGACCACACAGAGTTTGCCTTTTCAGTGGTAAGGGTAGAATAGTGGGTTGGGAATTTTTTTTTTTTTTAGTCAATGACAGTCAACAGTTTTCTATACAGCATCTCATTTAATATTCAGAGCCAGTGAAAGAAACTTCTGGCAATATGCCCTTTGCAAACAGAAACATTAAGAGGTTTTATAAAATCTTACCCAAGATCCACATTTTCTGACTAGCCAGGTCTCTCACCTCGCGTCTTTGCCCTGGAGAACTGAGGCTCCTGCTTTCATCCCTTCTTATCTGCCCTCCCTCAGTGAGCACAGAGAAGTCTCCCTGTCTGCCCCCCACAGACATGCTGGGTACCTAGGCCACCCGCACTGTGCTCTGTTCCCATCCTGTTAGTCCTCCATGGTCTGTGAGAATGAATGACCCTGCTGGCCACCTTCCCAGTCTCTGTGCCTTCTCATTGCTGGCTCCTGACCTAGCCGGCTGCCCTTGTCTCTGCTCAACCTGGGCCTCAACTCTTACCACCCAGACCAGCTGGCTGCTTGTCTCTGGAATCTTCCCTGGCTAGTTTGGTGGGGATTTATGGCTCCTTCCCCAGCTACGTGTTATTATCTGATGCGCCTTATAACTTACCTGTGCTAGGGAGATGTGACTCCATCAACCCTTCATGGTCTGTAGGTGTCTCAGCTGTAGATTCAACCAACTCAACGTAAGAAACACTAGGAAAAATTATACTTAATATTGAACATGTATAGATTTTATGGTTCTCTCACCTCTCATCCGCATGATCTTAGGTATGAGAAACAGTCTAGAGAGGGTGTAGAGTATGTAGGAAGACCTGTGTAGGTTACAGGCAAATAGCACACTGTTTTATGCAAGGCACTAAAGCTTCCAAAGTTGGGTATCGTTGGTGGGCCCTAGAACCAATGCCCCAGGGATAATGAGGGTCTCTGCTCTTGGCCCCTTGCCTAAATCCTAAGCTTCTAAGGAGCATTAACTAAAAGAGACTGCCTCCCTTCCTCATCATATGCCCCAGGGGTGAGCTTGTCCCTGAATTGGTTTGGGGACTCAGTGTAACCTATAGTGAGTGGTGTCCTGGACAGGTAAGTTGCTTTTATTATGTCTTTTAGTTTCATTGTAATCTCACCCAGCAGTTTCCTTGGCTGGGACCTTAGAGGTTGTTTGGAGAATTTGAGACAATACTAGACTTGTCTTTGCTGACCTGGGTCCCAGAGAGCACTCCTGCATCTCAGGAGGCAGCCCAGGCTGTCAGTCAACACCAGATCATTGCCCCCAGTGTGGCAGCTTAACAACTCTCTGTGTCCTACAGTGACAAATGACTGTCCTTTTGCCCTGAAGCAGCTGTGGGCCCAAGTGTGACGGGAGGATTGGTTCTGAAGGCCAGAGAGCCCTCTGGTGGCCAATCTGGGGAGGTGCATGAAGGAAGGGAGGGGTTTGGGTCTTTGGGTTAGGAGGTAGCCATAGTGCTACTCTGTGGACTTTGGAGTAAGGTCCAAGGCTTCAGTGTTTCCCAAACACAGCTCTTTTTATCCAAATAGGAATTTTGCTTGTGTTAGAAGAAAGTAACTGGTGGCCGGGATGTAGCTTTCCTGATGGACTGCTGACCTGACATTTGACCCCCGGTACTGTGTGAACCTGGTGTGGTGGTAAAAGTAGGAAGGCCAGAAGTTCAAGGTCATCTTCAGCTACATAGCACATTCAAGGCCAGCCTAGGCTGCACGAGGCCTTGTCTAAAACACACTTAAAAAAAGAAAAACAAAAATAATAACTCTCGGTGTCCTTCTTTGACAGTTGCTATGAACTAGCTACCATTGCTGTTTGACAAGAACTGGGGATGTGGCTCAGTTGGTAGAGTGTTTGCCTAGCATTCATGCAGGCCTGGGTTCTATTCCAGGACTGCATAAACTGGGCATAATGACCTACACCAAGTACTCAGGAAATGGAGGCAGGAGGATGGGAAGTTTGAGGCCGTCCTTGGCTGCATACTGAACTGGGCTGCATATAGCCTGGGCAACCTGGGGGCTAAAAAGACATTCTCAAAACATGTCTTTAAAACGAGAGTCAAGTGAAGCTGCTCAGGAATACGTTATTGTGCAATGGAGCAGGGCAAGAAGCCTACCTGCCTGACTCTAGAGACCCAGTCCACTTGGATGTCTCACACCAGCAATCTCTGGGCTTTCCAGTCTCAGATCATGACAGCTCCCAAGAGAAGTACCATAAAGCAGTGGGGCAGTAGTTGTTGGCTCCCCAAAACTGTGATAGTGGGGCTCCTACTGTGGCCATCCCATGTGGTGCTGGGAATCGAACTCGAGCCTTGGGCTTTTGGCATGCCTATTGCTTACAGCCTATGCCCCAGAACCTTAGTTTCCTCATCTTTAAATGCGCCTGGAGCTGGTAAAATAGCTCAGCTGGTAGGGGCGCTCGCCATCAAGCCTGACAACCTGAGTTCAATTCCTGGCAGCTGCAAGACGGAAGGAGAGAATTAACTCCCATGAGTTGCCCTCTGACCTCCAAACACACGTGCAAATAGATTATAAATAATAATAGTGGGAATCTGGGCTGGAGAGATGGCTCAGAGGTTAAGAGCATTGCCTGCTCTTCCAAAGGTCCTGAGTTCAATTCCCAGCAACCACATGGTGGCTCACAACCATCTGTAATGGGGTCTGGTGCCCTCTTCTGGCCTGCAGGCATACATACATAGGGGAATATTGTATACATAATAAATAAATATTTAAAAAAAATAGTGGGGATCTTTTTTTAATTGAAGAACTTGAGAAGGCACTTCTCCAAAATAGTGTCCTGGGCCCTACTCAGACCTCTGACTGCATGTCTGGTTAAGCTCAAGAGTCTGGCTTAGCAGGTATCAGGTGAAGAGCCCTTCCAGCTCCTAAATTCTTTATGAACCTGGACTTGGACCTGACCCTGACCCAGCCTGAAGCAATTCTAAGTGACACAGAAAATAACAGTAAAAAAGATATTTATTGTTAAAAAAAAATCAAATGGCCAACAAAGCCACTCGTGCAATCAATCACTCACACCCACAGTCACACGGGGCACACTAGTGCATCCTCCCCACACAGCTGTCTTCGTGGACAGCCCCGTGGGTAAGAGTCTCTGCGACTCTTCCTTTTGACTTCTGACTTGAAAACCACACACGTGAAAAGGCAGTGGACCAGAGAGGGACTGGCAGAGGACGGAGTTGCTCAGGCCACCACAGGTCTCCCTGGCTTCCGGTCTCTGCTACTCCGAGCTACATAACTTTCTACACCTGTGCACATACACACTGTCCATGGGTACGCAAGTGTGTAGACATGTGCCCACCCTGACCCTCCATGCATAGGCTCGAGTCAGTGTGGGTAACACTTGATTGGCAGACATCTGTGAGGAAGAAGAGGGAGGGGGCAGGGTGTCTGGCCTGGATCTGCTGGCTGGCTCTCCACCTTCACCTGGCCCTGAATAAGTTGAGTTCCTTGTGTCCAGACAAGAAGAACCCCTTTGGGAAAACACATCCAGACAGCAAGGCTGAAAAGTGCCTAAGAGTTTTTCAAATGAACTTCTTCCTTCTTGCTTTTGGCCAAAAGTGCCTGGGAAACTTGGGACAATTAACTCAGCATTACACAAGATCTGAATTCTTCAACGCAGAAGGTTCTGGGCAAGATCCCACTAGCAGAGGTGGGACAAGTCCTTCTGAAGCTTCAGCAACAAGACTTCCAGGAGTTGGAGGTCTAAGTGACTCATCTCCCAAGGACGCTATTGCTCCCAGTGCCCAGGACGGCGCTGACTTGAGACACTTGGCATAGATGGCCCAAACGTACACACCAAGCTGATAGTCAGGTGATGGAGTACCTGCTGGAAGGCTGATCGCCCTTCAGCTCCTTCAGAGGTCACCGCATGGATCTCAGAAGACCCTGGGTCTTCCATCCACAGCAGATGCAGGCATGGTTGCCTGTTGGGCACAAACCTGGCTCCTGCACTATGGGCCTGAGAGCAGCTCCGAGGATGTGGCCCAAATATGCTGAGCCAGTAGTTGGCGCTCTTTCTTGTTGGGGCTGGGAGACCATCCACCTGAGGGATTGCCCTCCTAGGTCTCACCCCAGAGTGCACCTGTCTGGGCATCCCCTCTTCCCTGGGGCCCCACCGCTCTTTTTACAGCTCTACCCTCAGCTTCCCTCCACCCTCCAGGACAAGCTGCGGATCCGAAGAGCACATTTGAAGAGATGGCCTTCTGGACTGGGGATGTAGTGGCTTCCTTCTCTCTCCTAGTCACACCCAACTTAACTCCCCATGAGACTAGAAGACAGTGCAGGGCCTGGGACTCCCCGTGCCTTCCTCTGAGAGCCGGAAGCTAGAACATGACTTCCTCACAGCTCCCATAGTCACTCTCTACCATGTCCGAGCCCTCATAATTGGGGGGTGCACGAGGTTGGCTCCGACCTGTCGCGGGTCCACCGTTCACTTCACAGTCAGCATAGGAGGGCCCGGCTCTGCTGAGGCGCATGCTCACTCCCTTATAGCCCCCCTCGGCCAGGCAGGGCCCACCCCCTCCTTGGCGGAACTGGGAGTGGTAGTAGCTGATGGCTGTGTACTCGTTGAGACAGGGGGCAAGCAGGTGTTCACGGGGACTTGGAGGTCGTGGAGGCATCAGGTCCTCCAGGTTCTGGTTGCTGTAACGGGGTGGGAGGGGTGCCCGCTTGTTTTCCAGTTCCAGCGGGAAAGGGAAGCCACCATAGAGACCCGTGGGATCTGGCATCACTGCAGGGCTGACATGGCGGTGAGGAGAGGGTGGCAGAGGACCCTGCATTGCTTCGGGGTGTGGGTATTCCCAATGCTCCTTCCGGGAGTAAGTTGGGGGCCAGACCGCAGCTCCGCTTGGGTATACTGAAAGAGAACAGTAAGACTTGGTGAGTCTGTGTTTCCATGGTAGTCATTCCAGCAAGCTGGACAGACGCAATCAATGACTTAACATTTGGTGGGGATTGCCCAGCGAGCTATTGGACTCATGACCGCTCTGTGCATATTGTCTGTGAAAGCTTGGATGAATCTACAATGCATTGAGGACAAGTGGAAACCCCGAGGTTAGACTCAAAGCCAGCCCACCTTGCAGATAGATCTCTACTGCCAACCTGTGCCAGGGAGCAGGGAGGGTTAGAGAGAACCGCGGACAATTCTAAGCTATTCACACTGCTACCAGACAGATGCAACTCTTCCCAAGACTGACTGGGGAGTTTCATTTCTGAACTGAAGGAAAAAGATGCACAGTGTGGACTTGGTGGCGGCACCGTGTCTGTCCCAGGGGGTGGTGGAATGAGGGGAGGCTTGGAAGGAGTCCCCATCTCTGCCACTGAGAGCAACTCATTTCATTTATGACCTCAGTGATGTATACCATGACCGGACCTGTTGTAACTGCTGGGGAGCACAGCAGATGAACAGAAAGTGCTTCACAAATCTACCTCCTTCTCAGCCAAAGACGAGAGTGGCTTTGGTTCCCTACTCTTGGCCAGCCAAGTCTCACTTCCAGATTGGATGTCCAGAACCTTTTCCATTTTCAGAACAGCACAAAGGTGCAGACGCTCCCCCTTCATCCCCAAGTCTACCCTAGACCATTCAAGTCTACCTTTCATGACATGAACACCAGTCCCATGGTATGCTTTGGAATTAAGAGAAGTTGGTCATGGAACAGGCATGATGAGCCAAGTCAGCTGTGCACGGTCACCTGGCATGCATCCCTTCATATCCCATACCCAGTGATTGGTTTGACCAGTGGCTGTTCCACTGTATGCCAATGTGTATACCAACAGAATGTTTTGGGGCTCCCACCTTTCCATCCATCCCTGAGCTACAGGGCTTCTGGTTATACTGACCCAGTTCCTCGCGTGACCAGGTTCTCTTGATGATGGGCTCATGGCCAGGGTGTGAGGAGACAGCGGCTGGTGGGAGCCTGGGCGGCACGCTGCACACCATCGGCCGCTGTTTAGAGCTAGTTCCGAAGGTGACAAGTTCACTTGGAACTGAGGTCTTGCTGGGCTCTTGTTGGTTCAAGTTGTTGCAGGAGCTGGTGCTCAGGGGGTCGAGCTCAATGGCAGGTGAAGCTTGGGTGTCGACGCCAATGCTCCTGGCTAGGAGGTCTGGGTCCTCCATGGCCACCGGCTTGTGAGACTTGCAGCGACGGCAGTAGAGGAGGAGCCCCACGGTGACAATGATGATGAGAGGTAGAGCTACTATGATGATCAGAAGCTCCTGCTGTCCCCAGTCCCCGCTCTTAATCTCGGGAGTAATGAGGCAGTGTCCTCCGGAGCAACCCCGCGCTTCCATCTCGCACCTGCAGAGACGGGGAAGTACTTAGCAGACATTTGAAGGTCCCCCTTTAGAGAGCTATTTGTTGAATGTAGGAATATTTTGTCTGCATGTATGCTTGTGTATCATGTGTGTGCCTGATGCCTTCTGGGGCCTGAAGAGGGAAGAAGATCCTGCAGATTGCTTGTGAGCCACCATGTGGGTGCTAGGAATCAAACCCAGGTCTTCTAGAAGACCAATGAATGCTCTTAACCACTGAGCTATTTTTCCAGCCCCCTAACAGTCCTATGGGATAGGGTCCTCACCCCCATTTTACGTGACTTCCTACCAAAAGTCAAAGGGAATTGTCGAACATACCAACACATCGTTAACAGAACCAGCCCCACTAGTGAGTCTGTGTGTGCAGCCTGGGGCTGAGTACATAGCTCAGTGAGTAAGGGCACTTATTGTTCAAGTATGAGGAACTGGGTTTGAATCACCAACACCCACATACAAAGCTGCTGTGTTGGCCCCAAACTGTGAGGGGCCGAGATAGGCAGATCGCTGAGACTTATTGATGCCTCTCCGCCCCCAATCCAGTGGGACCGTCTCTTGAGAATTAGGTAGAGAGTGATGATAGAGTAGAACACTAGGCATCCTCCTCTGGACCATTTCATGTTACTGGGTGCACGTATCCCTTGATACACAAAACTGTGTGCAAGTATATGTGTGGGATGGGGCGGGTACATGTGCCAGGATGGTCCTGCACTGCTTAGCTGCGTTACCTGCTACATCCGCTTGGAGAAAGTATTAATTGTCAAACTGACAGAATCTTGAATCATCCCTGAGACCGAGGCTATGTGGGCATACCTGTGTGAAATTACTATGATTGCGTTCACTGAGGTGGGAAGACATGCTCACTGTGGGTGGCACCATTCCCTGGCTAGGATGTTGGGCTGTACCAATGGAGAAACAGAACTGAGCAGCAGCATGCATGCATGCATCTCTCTCTGCATCCTGACTCGGGAAGTCATATGACCAGCCACTTCATGACAGACTGTACCTGTGAACTGTGGGCCCAAATAAGCCCCTTTTCCTTTAAGTTGCTTTAGTCAGAATATTTTATCAGCAACAGGAAAAGAAACTAAGACACTGTGCGGCCTCCCAGTCTAGCTTCAACTTGGCATTGACATAAGGCCCTTAGAGAACATCTATTGCAAGGTTTCTACTTTGGAGGATCTGGGGGGAAAGTTCCCCCCGACCCCAGCTGAGTCCCAAATACGTCTCAGTGCTAAGAATTTCACCACATGCAGCTTGCTCTGAAAGTGTGATGCTGCATTCCCCCCAAGTTCCTCTTCTAAAACACAAATGCCACTTTCCTGGCTTGTTCCCACACACCCTCCAATGACCTTGATGAGTGACATCCTTACATCCAAGCAGGCAGTGATCAGAGCAAGACCAATGGCTGCTGAGAAGGACTTGAGTCATTAGCACATTGCGTGATCTTGGGTAAGCCCTTTCCCTCTCTGGGTCTCAGTTTCCCCCATCTACCAAATGGTGGCAGGGCTATGTTATTGAGGGGTTTTGTTTGTTTGAATTCGTTTGTTTGTTTTTAAGACAGGGTATGTTGTAATCCACGTTCCCAAGCTTTGGTGCTCCAACACTAGACACTGGTTCAAATGCCTTGCTTCTAGGTTTCTAGAATGTTTCTCCTTTGCCAGCACCCTCATGACCTAGCCTAGTCAGCGGCAGGGTGCAGAGATTTGCAGGGCGGGAGTCTGAGACGTAGCTGTTCCTAGGCCCAGGAGAATCAGTTTCCCCAAGTGTGTCTGGGACACACGGAAGAAAGCAAATGCAGTCATTTCTCTGCCAATGTCATCCAGGGTTGATATGCCCTAAGAGCTGGTAAGATGTGTGGCTTCCTGGCCCCTTATTTGTGGGTCTGGTTCAGAAGGTTGGGGATTGGGTTTGGGAAATGACCCTTTCCATGAGCGCATTCCTTCCCGCAGTATCCTGACGCCAGGAAGTCACAGGAGGAAAGGCCCAGAGGCCTGGCTTCTGAACTCACGCTGACCTCTCTAGAGGTCAGGAAGCAAAGCTCACTCCCCCATGCTCCATGGTAAGGAGCCAGAGCACGTGGCCTCTCTGGGCTTACCTGTCACCTGTGTAAGGGTGAGGACAGTTACAGGAAGTGCCTTCTGGGGAGGAGACACATGTGCCACCTTCCTGGCAGGGCACAGAAGTGCAGTTCTCCCTTCCATGTTCACAGTTCCTGCCAGAGAACGGAGGGGGGCATCTGCACAGGTAGCCTGGGGGAGAGAGGAAGCTGAGTGAGTGACCAGCTACTGAGCGGGGCCCCAGGGACACCTGCACCTCTGTGCTGCAGTTCAAGAACCATTTGTCTGCTAGATACCTGTGGCTGACCCAAGATCACCCTGGGCTGTGGTGAGAGACCCTACCCTGTCGATGCTACAGTGAGACACAAGGGCTACATCACAATCAGGGGTCTTTGGAATAAACCTTGGGGTCACCATTTCAGTCTTTACCTGATCCAAGGGCAGGGGAGCAGCTCCCGCCGTTGAGGCATGGGTTCTGGCTGCAGGCAGTGCTGGGCCAGCAGCATTGGGTGAGGGCCTGTCTTTCCAGCCAGCCCACCATCTTCTTTCCGTGGCCAAGTGGCTCTAACCTCTCACCATTGACCACAACAGCATCCAGGCAGCCTTCAAATCCCAAGGAAACATTCAAGGAAGGATTTGAGGGGACAAGGCCACCCAGCAGTAGTTGTCTTTCTGTCCTCAGACTCTGACATTCCTCTGGGATGACAAGGGAGGTGTTGTCTGTGGTGTCGACCAACAGATGAACGGAAGTGTCCCTCTCCTCCAACAGCATGGAGTGCCACTGTCCATTATTCACAGGATGCTGGGAAGAAAGGTTTCCATAGAAACCACCTGGACAGCCATATTCCAGCTGGAGGAAGCCATTGGCCAGCTGCAAAGAGAGCACAGGCAGCTGTCAGCAAAACAAGAAATCTGTAATTCTGCTGATCGGCCTCCAGTTGCCAGAGTGCGACTGTTGTTTTCTTATCCCTTTTTGCTATGGAGCCAAGGATGACCTTGAACTCCTGATCCTCGCGCCTCTACCTCCTAATTTGCTGGCATTACAGTTGTTCACCACCATATCTCATTTACACTGTGCTGGGGGTTGAATCTAAGTCTTCCTGCATGCCAGACACGTGTTCTACCAATTGAGAGCCACGTCCCCATTCTCAAGCATTTCCAAATGCTTCTGACATTGCCTCTGAAGAATCCAAACACCCTCAGAATCCCAACCCAGTCCTCACCATATTCTCTGGGTTGATCAAGATCCCATTTGACAGCTGAGAAACCTGAGGCCCAAAGAAAGCTTACTGATGGGACTCTGTGGTTTTGATCATTCGAGAAACTGTGCATGGATCAGCTAGCCTAGTCTAGGTGTTGAGCTCCAGACTTGTGAGAAACTGAAACGACCAAGGTGGATGGTACCCAAGGAGCAACACCCAAGGTTGCCCTGTGGCCTCTGAACATGTGCTTGCACACACAGAACTTTCTTCATCCCCCTCGAATTACTGCTCATCACCACCTCCCTGACCACCTCTTTGCCCCGCACCTCCCATCTCCTGCGTCCTCAGGATTTCCCACATCCAAACAAACTCTGAAATCTCTGTGCTTTATCACCAGTCTCCTTTGTGCTTAACAAAAACTCCAAGAGGGATTTCAGTCCCGTACACCAATGAGATTCAAGTGCACAGAACAAAGTCTGTCACCCTGTCACCCAGTGCCCGTGCTTAGCAGATATGTGTTGAGCAAACTGAATTCACGGAAATAGTTGCCCGGTGGTTGCGATGGAATGTTAATCCAGGCAGCGAGCAACGTCACTTTCATAGGAAGCACCGAGGGACTGGGCATAAATTAGTATGTCTTCCTTGTGATTCCATGGGGCTTTGCCTTGGGATTGTCATCTGAGTACTCCCAGTGGAAACCACCCTCCACCCACCCCCACCAACACACACCTACTGTGAGACATACTGCCTCTTCCTGTACACAGACTAAAAACATTCTCACAGGGCCAGAGTTGTGTGGGCTCACATTTCTCTCGCTATCTTCCAGCGATCTCTCATCCCACTGAGCAAGCAGCCCCATCCCCAGATGACCTGGGATGTGTATCTCCAGGTAGAATGGCTGTGGCAGAGAGTCCCGTGCCCTGTGTGTTCTGGCTGATAGTCACACCCAACACCCTTGAAAGCCACGAAGGGGATTCTTTGCCAGGAATTGGCTCAGCAGACATCCTCAGAGCACCCCCCCCCTCTTCCCAGTACAGAGTGCCCATGGCAGCTCCTCTGGTGGGAAGCGCCTTACCTTCAGGGAAAGAGAGATTGTTTCGTTGGTGAACATTAGAACAGCCCATGGCTGGAGCGTTTTCAGATAGAAGTGGACCTGCCAGTTCTGAGCCTCTAGGGGCCTGTACCGCACGTAGCTCTGGCCACTGAACCTCAAGGTGGTACCTGCAAAGGAACCCGAGGTATCACCATCCTTGAACTGTCCCGGATCCCTTAGATTGATTTCGTTGCATTTGACCCTTGGGTGACAAACAGGCCACTTCTCACATCTGTTACATGAAGAGCCCAGGCTGGGTGGCGTGGATGACTTTTCCAGAGCCACACATAAAGAAAAGGGGCCAGCGATGGATGGAGGAATCCAGGCTTCTGTCAAGTCCAGCATCCCCAAGCCTGGTTACTGATTTCTAATGCCGAGTTCCTCAGACAAGTCTGAGAGTTTATCTGGGCAAGGGGGTGGGGTGCGGGACCCCAGCTTGGCTTGTTTGACCACAATGCATGCTTAGGTGGTGATCTTTGGAAATGTGTGCTTTGGGAAATGTGACATCATATAAACACCCCCTTCCCTAGTCCTGGACTCAACTATGATGCTCCCAGTCCCCCAGTGTGAAGAAGCTGCCTGTTCATCCTCAGGACAAAGAATGAATGATGTAGGCTCCTGATATCCAGGGAAGAGAGACTGTTGAAGAGGGGAATAAAGGAAGGGATTGGGCTGCAGCTTGAGGTACAAGGAATCCCAAGGCACAAAAATTCTATCACACATGAAATTTAATCCCCCGCAACCTGGTCGTTCCATTGTAGTGGGTGCTAATGGACGGGAGACGGAAATTGATTCAGACCGAGAATTCGCAAATGTGGCTGGACTGGCTGGGGACTTACTTAAGACATAGCATCCCAGATGCCCTTTCGGTACAGTCTGCTTCAAATGCTCAAGGTGGGCGGGGGTGTGGCTCAGTTGGTAGAGTATCTGGAGGGCTCCATTCCCAGGACTACAAAACTGAGCATGGTGGCCCGTGCCCATAATCCCAGCACTTAGGAGGTGGGGGCAGGAGGATCAGGAGTTCACGGTCATGCTTGGCTACTCAGCCAGCTGAAGGCCAGCCAAAATTAAAAAAAAAAATCTTCCCATGGTGGGTGTTGAGGAAGGGAGCCTCCTTTCAAGACGCTGGATACATTCTAAGCCTTGACTGAGGTTCGAGCTACGCTGATACATTGGATTTTGGAAAACACATGGAGGTGCTTGCATACAAAACATATATTAATTTTGGGGATGTCCTACTTTTCTAAAACGTTAACAAAACAGCCTTCTCCCAAGTGATTCTGGCAGTCAGCATGCCCAGCTAGGGTTTCTCAAAGTGCAGCCCTGGGACCACGTGTTTCCAGTTGAATGCCCAAGGAAGGCTTTACAATGAAAACATCTAGCAACAAGCGCAGAGCAGTCTCTGAGCACCCCCCCCCCGTGCTGTGCACAGTAGGACTACCTTTTACAACTTTTGCTGTCTGCTGCCAGATGGCCCAGAGAGAGCCTTCAGCTGGCCTTGGGGCAGAAGGCAGAGAGGAGACTCGCTTACCCTCTAGCCTAGGCCCGCTGTTCCCTGGCAGTCTCTAAATCTGAACCACAGTCTCCCTAATGCAAGCTGGATGGGTCCCTCAAAGGAAGGTCAGGCCATGTCACTTTCGTGAGAGAGAGAGTGTGTGTGTGTGTGCTCACATGTGTGTGCATGTGTGTGTGTGTGCATGTGAGGGCCAGAGGTTGACATTCGCTCTCTTCCTCAATTGCTCTCCTATTTATTTTTTGTGCCAGTGTCCCTGACTGAACTAGAGCTGGTTGATCTGGCTGGGCTGTCTGGCCAGTGAGTCCCGGAGATCCTCCTGTCTCCACCCCTGCCCCAAGCAGGGCATTACAGATACATGCTTCTGTATATGAAGCCAGGCTTCCAAACTCACAACCCCATACTGGAATATGAGCAATTTACCAACTGAACCATTTCCCAGCTTCCGTCAGTTTCCTTTTGACAAAGCCGAGCTGACCCAGGGTGTGGGTCTTCATGCCGGGGGTACTGGGTGAGTCTTTTCAGAAAGCTGAATTCCTGGGTTCGCTTAGTGCAGAGTTTAGGCTCTGAATAGGACACACTGGGGCTTGAATAACCTGGCTTCTATTGGAGGCTGGAGAGTGTCAGGCAAAACAGCACCCGGCTTTCACACAGAAGGAACTGATGATCCGCATGGAGCCTGCACACAGTGGACTGTCCATAGCACTGTCTACTCCCCTGTGAGTGACAGCCAGTACCTCACCGGACTTACTGCGGCCAGCCATGGGCTACGCGCTATTACATCTATATGTAATTTATTCCCTAAACTGAAGGGGAGGAGTGATCTTTATAGATGGGCAGCGGGAGACAGTGGACTTTACAGACTTTATACCCAAGGACACACCACTAGTAAGCGGTGGGGCTGGGGTGTGAACCTATATTGGGTCTACTTTTTAAGCTGAGAGCAGCAGACTGTGGGGTTGGCAGCAGGGGCATCAGTAACTGACATGTCTGCAGTAGCTATCCTCTGTCAGGCTTTTTCCATGAGTACCTGATATGTTAAACTCAGTCCTTATAACAGCAAAGCCCATAGGCATAGAGAGGTTCAAAGAATTCCCTCCAGTCATCTGGCTGGACAGCGGCAGAGCAGAGAGGCGGACTGTGGCAGCCTGATGCCCCAGTCTATGCTTTTAGCTACTGTGTCTTTTGTAATTGACTGTTACTTTCAAAATACCAGAAAGTTGATGGGCAGTGGTGGCGCCTTTAATCCCAGCACTCGGGAGGCAGAGGCAGGCGGATCTCCGTAAATTCAAGGCCAGCCTGGTCTGCAAGAGCTAGTTCCAAGATAGGCTCCAAAGCTGTCTCGAAAAACAAAACAAAACAAAAATCCAGAAAGTGGAGAGAACTTGGTTAGTGTCCCACAACTAAACTTTGGGGCATCACTCCCAATGTTATGCTGGCCTGTGGCATTTAGTTTGATTATAGCCATGCTTGTGAACCTCTGTGGGAGTTCACACATAGGCCGGCAGCCATGGCCCAGCAACACAGCCCCAGGCCTTACCATTGCAGGAGCAGTTCCTCCCCAGATGGTGTCGTGGTGTCAGGATGCTGAGCCGGGCTGTGCTGTAAGACGGCCCAATCCTGGGCTCCAGGGACACTGTCTCTCGGCAGGTTTGATCAGGGCAGCTTGGCCCTTGGCATGGTACCACGGGTAGAACGGACCTCATCTGAATTCCCACCAAGTGTTCCATCTCTTTGGCTGAATGAACTATGGCAGAGGCCAACTCCTCGAGGTCATAGGAGGTTCCGGAATGCCCCTCAAAGACCAGAAGCACATCCACGCCAGCCGTGGCCTCTGCAGGCTGCAGGCTGGCCAGGTGGATGTTGGCTCGTTTGATGTCCAGGGTATTGCTGAGGAATCTCTGCAGGTTGCGCCAGTGGTCGCTCACCAGTTCTTCAGGGGTGACCTGATGAAAACCCAGCCACACGGCTTGCGGAGGAGCCTCCTGCCCCATGTGCCACACGTGGACGTGGACCCCAGTGGTGGTGGTGAAGGTCCCGTCACTGACTGTGACGTTGAGGGAGTATCGGCCACGAGGCAGTCCTTGGGAGGCGATAATCTTGCCATCTGATGCACCCACTGAGAAGTACCTGCCCAGGCTTTCCTTTAGCTCCAGGCTGTAGGTCAGTGTGTCCTGTGGGTCTCGGTCTGTGGCATGGATTTTACCTACCATGCCACCCTGGAATTCCTCCTCTGCCACTGTGATGAAGATCTCCAGTGGGAGTGTGAAGGGTGGGTAGCGGCTCTGCTCTGTCACGTGTACTCTGACCAGTGTGGAAGATGACAAGGGCGGGAGGCCACTGTCTGAGGCCTGTAGGTAAGACGAATGGTGTTGGTACCCAACAGACTGCAGTGCCTCTATGCCCAGCTGAGGCTGTTCCCCCTACCAACCTAGTCTCCCTTCCCCACACCCACTGACACGGGTGATGTACACTGCCATGCTTGGGGAAAAAATGAACTCCAAAGCCCAAGGATGCGCTAGAGATTTTCTTAAGGTTTTGTAGAAAACAGGGAAACAGTAAAACAGCTCAACTTCCCCAAGCCTCATGGGCCCTGAGCTTCTTCCTAAATCGCTCCAACCAAACCTCCATGTGTGTGCACACACATGTATGTGCTTATTTGTGTGTGCATGCATGTGCTGACTGAGCCAGCTCTCCAGCACAGGGCCATCTTTTCATGTCTCTTCCCTTCTGAGCCCTCTACCCCCCATCTCCGGCCCAGACTTGGCTAAGTCAGCAGGCACCTCCAAGAGGTCTTCACGCCCCTCCACGGCTGCTGCCTCGCTGAAGGAGAGCCCCTCTGGGACTCGCTTTCCTACACACTGGAGTGGGAGTGAGAACTCGCTTTCTGGGGCCAGATGAATACTTTCTGGGCGGGGCCTCTGCTGCAATTGGGACAGGCAGGGTGAGTGATCAAACATGCAAGAGGCTATGGGCTTGGACGCAGTGAAGAAAACAGACAGACAGGGTGAGAAGACAGACAGTGAGGGGTCTGACTTAGATCAGGTGAAAGGGATGCTGTCTCTGAAGGGGGATAGTGTGGCAGGGCCCCCCAAAGTGGGCAAGAAGTGGCATGCCCAATTAAACAACAAGTAACTGGAGCAGATGTGGGGGAATGCTGGCTCCACAATGGGCTGAGGAGCACAAGGCTGGGGCTCATGTCACAGTTGTGAAAAGCTCGTGGAGACTTTAAACAAGGGTGGAATGATCTCCTTAAATCAGAAAATCGGGGCTAGAGAGACGATGCAGGGCTTAGGGCTTGCTGCTCTTATGGAGGCCCCAAGCTTTGTTCTCAGCGCCCACAGTGGAAGGCTCATAACCGCCTGCAACTCCAGTTCCAGGGAAGCCAAACAAGTATGTAAACAAATGTAAACACACACACACACACACACACACACACACACACACTAGAGTGCCTATTCAACTTGGCTTGCCAAGGCTAGCTTGGAGTGTTCTTGGCTGTGGTTCAGTTGTCAACAATGCTTAGTATTTCTGCCCATTCAAAATTAAAATGTTAAAATACAATTCCCATTGCTTGTAAGTAAAGCCTTTGGGAAATAAGAGCAGAGCCATGGGGCCTTTGTGAAGATGATCAATGCCTTTAAACAAACAAACAAAAACCTTTTTGTCTGATCTTTTTTTTAATATTTTTATGGTTTAAACTTTATTTTATGTGAATTGATGTGAATTTGTCAGATTCCCCTGCAACTGGATCTTCAGACAGTTGTGAGCTGCCATGTGGGTGCTGGGAATTGAACCTGGGTCCTCTGGAAGAGCAGTCAGTGCTCTCAACCACTGAGCCATATCTCCAGCCCCACAAAAACCTTTTTTAAAAAATTTTACAAGACACGATCTGGCTCTATAACTCAGGTTGGCCTCAGGACTTACAATCCATTCCTCCTGTCTCAGCCTTCCAAGTCATGGAATTATAGGTCTGTACAACTCCTTTGCTTTGTTTTAACACATGGTCTAGACATGTAACCCAGACTGCCCTAGAAATCTATTTGTATCTCAGATTGATCTCATACTTATAATTCTCCTGCCTCAGCCCGCCCAGTACTAGGATTACAGGTATGTAACACTCCTCTGGCTAAAGGGACATCAGTGCCTTTATAAGCAGTTGACACCGGCTTGCTGTCTTCCTGCCATGTTAGAAAGAGGTCCCTCACCTGGCTCTGCTCACAACTTCATTCTGATCTTGGCTTTCAGCCCCCAGAACTGTGAAAGGTCTGATCGTTAGCATATATCTGTAGCATATATATCTGCTATAGTAGCCAGTTGAACTAGTCAGCACTTCTGACACTCAAAATATCACAGTTTGGACCTCAGCTATCAGTCGTCCATAAAATGAACAATCTTCCTGCCTCACCATGACTGATCAGCCTTATCTATGCTTCAGTTTCCTTCCTGACATCACTTCCTATTTTTTGATCACAGGTCACTTCAATGCTTACCCAACTCGAGTCCTTGTCCATCTCACTCTTCCTGCCTGGAAAGCTCTCCTGCCCACTGTCCTTCAGGCCCCCTCAGGACTCCACTCAGATGTCACACATGTGACATATCTGTGTGTACCTTGCCTTGAGTCTCTTGTTACCTTATTGACTTAAGTCCTAAGGTGTGACTCTCCCATTTATCTACTCAGTGTTTATCTTCATACTCAGAATGGAACGCCCTCATGTAAAGGAGCAATCCCCTTCGCATCCCATGCTAAGGATGTCCCTGGGCCTCCACATGCATGTACACACATGGATAGTCAAGCACATGTATGCACATACACACAGATACATATACACAAGCACATACAGACATATATACACATTCACATACAGACACATATACACATGCACATACACACAAATACACACAAACTTACAGACATATGCACACACAGGATGAGAAAAAGTATTCCTGTAGGGCTCAGTGTGAAGTCCCTAGTCCACTGGCAGGTCCACACACACGAGCAGAAACACCACCAAAGTGTCTACCAGCAGGTGTCCTGTCTCCAAGGCTATCACCACACACACTAGCTCAGATTCACCCAGCACCCACCTCGATGTGAAGCTGATACCACTCCTGGGCCCTCCTGCTCAGGCCCGCAGCTGTCACTAGCCATCCATCGGGCGTCACTCGGAACACAGACCCAGTGTTCCCCTTAGTGATCCGGAAGGAGTAAGGGGGCCCATTCTGTGGAGAGTCAGGATCATCCAGGATCAGCTGCAGGACTTTGACGCCAATGGGGGAGTTCTCCTGTGACCGAGAATGACAGGAAGCCAGAGAGTGGTGTAAGTCATGGCCACTCAGATCCCTTCTTTGTGGTCCCACTTTCCAGGGACCAGTCCTTATCCCTCTGCCCACAGACTGGGCCTAGGCTGAATGCTGGCCAGGTAGTTTTCCCTCCATGTCCCTGAGCACAGCACCGGGTCTTATAAGGGCTCTTAAACACTGACGGTCAAACCCTTATCCTATAGAGGAGGCCAGTGCCTGACCTTACAGCCGACAGACTGCTAGTACTTAGAATCCATGGGTGCATGGTGGCGGCACTTCTATTTTTTAATCATTAATTTTTTAGCTAGAAAACAAAATAATGTGTTTCTTTATGATATTATATATATGCACATATGCATGTGAGTGTGTGTGCACACATATAATTTTATCTTATTTTCAATACACCTCCTCACTACCCTTCTACTTCTTCCTTCTTCCCCGTCTCACTGTTCTTCCTTCTTCCCAAATAGTCTCCTCTCTGCTTTCATTATATGTGTGAACATATGCACACAAATCTACATATATGTACATATTTAAAGCTAGATTCACATATGAAAATTAACATGAAGTATGCCGCCTTTCTTGCCCCATGTACCTTCATGTCTGAAATCTCTGAGGTGGACTCTCTGGACTCTACCCACTTCAACGACTGTGGCGAACCCCAAATAGGACAGGATAATAGTCCTATAAAAGCCTAACAAGGGCCCTGTTTCTTTTCTGTCCCTTAACCATAGCCACCTTTGGTTCTCTGTATTCCCTTTAGGGATAGCAGAGGGAAAAAAAATCAGTGGTTTTGTGGACTGAAGCTCCTTTCACTGAGAGGGACACAAGAGGAGGGTAGGTTCAGGATGCCCTTACCTGGACAGCGGTGCTGTAGTTGAGCTGGAAGAACCTGGGTGGGTTGTCATTGACATCAACCACCTCAACAGCCACTTCTGTGTCCTCATGCAATGGGGGCTGCCCACTGTCTGTGGCTCGGAGCCTCAGGGAATAGCTGGGTGTCTGTGGCAAGATGTACAGCTGGGGAATTAGAGATAAAGCCCCTGGTGTCTGTCCCTTGGGGTATTGCCTACTCCGAGGGGTCTCCCATAGCACTAGAGTTCAGGTGTCAGAATCGGACAGATAGAGAGTGGTTTGCAACCCAGCAGCTCCTCACTATGGGGCCCTGGGAAGGGGACTGAGCTGGGGAAGAGGGTAAAGTCAGGTCATACTTCCTAGAAAGGCTGTGGGCATCAAATAGTGAGATTCTCTAAAGGTATCCAACAAGTGCCTGAGGCCAGGAACTGATCTCAGTCCATGGTAGCGGTCACTGCATTGATGCCTTGTCAGCCTGCCTCTTGCCTCAGAGTTCACAGAGGAATCACTCTAGGGACTGTCTGGACATCAGGATGGGGTGTGTTTGCCCTTTACCCTCTGGACCTGCCACAGGGCCACGCTTCTGCTTAGCCTGGATTCACCTGTTCCCAGTCCAGTGCCTTGGCCACCTGAAGCTTCCCCTTCTTTGGGTTTATGGTGAAGTGTCCAAGCTGGTTCCCTTCAACCAGACTGTAGGTAATGGCACTATTTACAGGGCCATCGTCATCAGATGCTGATACCTGTAGCAGGGGAGAGATTGTGAATTCAGGCACAAGAGTGACCAGAAAGAGCTCTTAGTCCTGAGCGTGATGGCGATGTTCCTACCCCAGCCGCTACCACTGAGTTGGTAGTGCCCAACCCAAAAGAATCTCTTGTGATCTCAGTATACCATGGATTCACTTATTGGCCCATTCTCTCCAGGGACAGGGTACACAAGGGCTGGTTCCAGGAGGCCAGAATGTAAGGAACATATAAAATGGTGCACCCTTAGAAAGTGTTGTGGCTGATTTTCATCACGGTGGTCCTCATGGGAGTATAGTGGACTGATATCCAGGAAGGTTATAAGAGGATTCAGGAAATTCTGGAGGATGGGGGAGGGTCTGGGCATAGAAAGAACACCCAGGCATAGGAAAGGGTACGGCCAAGGAAGTGTGCAGGTGTGTTCAGGAAGGAAGGAACAGTACAGCCAAGGAAGTGTGCAGGTGTGTTCAGAAATGAATGGTACAGCCAAAGAAATGGAAGGCAAATCCTGATTTGCATTTAGTGCCCAGGATGCGTATGGAGGCAGAAGGAGAGATCAGACAGGAGATGGAGAGGAGTCCTGAAGAACTAAACGTGAACATGTTTCATGGAAGGAGGGAGCAACTGTATATTTAAAAGCAAAGAAATACAATGTGGTATGCCCTCTGTTCCTATCTCCCACCCACTGGCTCTTCATGCCACTCCCTGCATAGACTGCCATAGGCATTGGGCAAATTTCTGGAGTCAACCTCTTTTGGGCTCTTCTGTTGAATATTACCAATCTTGTGCCCCCACTAAATCAGCCTGACACTTACGTGTGGCACAGTTTTCCCGAGGAGTCACAAGTCATGTACTATAGAGCGCTGGCTTACAATAGAGCACTGGCTTACGATAGAGTGCTGACTCATGATAGAGCACTGACTCATGATAGAGCGCTGACTCATGATAGAGCACTGACTCATGATAGAGTGCTGACTCATGATAGAGCGCTGGCTTACAATAGAGCGCTGGCTTACAATAGAGCGCTGGCTTATGACCCATGCTTATGATGACTGAGGACCTATGGGGGAATGAAGCAAGAGCCATCCCAGAAACTATACCCCACAAAGAGTGAAGCCAGAGTTCCTTACGGTCAAGATGGCATCACCGACAGCAGCGTTCTCTAAGACCCTCACAGTGTACAAGTCATGGGTGAATCTGGGGTGGTGTTCATTAACATCAGTGACATTAACCACAATGGTGGTCACATCACTGAGGGAGGAAGAGCTCTTCCGGCTGCATTCAATAGACAGGAAGTACTTGGGAGTTGTCTCATAGTCCAGGTTCCCGTTGACATATAGGATGCCTGAGGAGAGAAGAAGTGATGGAGGAGAGGCAGCTGGAACCATAAGGCAGAGTTTTGAGGGGTTGGGAGCTAGGTCCTGTGCATTGGGGTGCCTGGGAGGACTCTGCATGAGATGCAGTGGGGTCCTTCCATGGGTCCCCTTGGGTTTGACTCTGGCTCCATAGCTAGGAGGAGAAAATAGATAGCTTCCATATTCTGCATTTCCTCATGATCATAGTGGAACATTCAGGGGTGTCAGGAACTTGGCTGGGCACAGGGTGGTTTTAAGGTAGGCAGCGAGTCCCACACTACTTGAAAACTTGTTTTTAGCAAGTGTTTGGTTCAGGAAAGAAGTGAGGCATGCTAAGACTGTTGGGCTAAGCTGAGACCAGGAAGCCACCACCAGATGGGTTGAATGGATCATGGAGGATCACAGACAGAGTACTAGGTGAAGCTATGGGGGAATAATGACCCTCTCAGGTAAGCGAGGCCCACATGGAAAAAAGGGCCCAGATTATGGGTCTATGGAGAAATGTAGACAGTGTATATATAATCAAAGGATGCCAGTTGCAGAGGATGGGAAGGCTGTGTGGACGGATGTTCACAGTACACGAAAAACTAGTATACCCCACTAATGAAGGGTTGAGCAGGCTCTGGCCCATCTCACCTGTGTGAGCATCCAGTCGGAACTTCCCCTGCTCATTCCCACCCGTGATGCGGTAACCAGTCTTCTCTGAGCCCGGGCGTGTGAGGGTAGCCAGCTGCAGTATCTCCGTGTCTATCACAGCATCCTCGGGCACCTGTGTGCTGTGCTCCGCATTCAGGAAGATGGGAAGGTAGTCTTCCAGGCCCACCACGGAGACTGTGACAGTGCCCAAGGTGGAGAGTGGTATTGGGATGCCTAGGTCTGAGGCCTGGACTGTGAGCTCCAGAGCTGAGTTTGATCTGACCTGCAGAGGCTTCTCCAGACGAATCACCCCCGAAGTGGCATCAATGGAGAACTGGCCATCAGCAGAGTCCGTCAGTGAGTACATCACCTGGGCATTGGTACCTGTGGAGACCAGGGCTGAAAGTTACACTGAAGATACCCAAGGCAGGACTTTGGAGAGACTCCTAAAAGTTAGTGTGCCCGGGGCATGTCAAGAGTGAGAATCTCAGTCAGCAGCTCCAAGCCCTCACCAAAATAAATAAATAAATAAATAAATAAATAAATAAATAAATAAATAA